AGGTAAAACGACAAATTGTGGGTTTGATGTCTTTGCATCTTTAATTGAAATACACAAATGAGGGGTTTTAGAAATGATTTTTTCAAGAGCTGGGAAAAGAATCTGAGAGATTTTAATTTCTAAAACTGGATTTTGCGAGTTAACTTATTCATCCCAATAATATCTTACTATGAAATGAACATTGCATCCATAAATATTTGATAATTGAAGTTTTAAGTAAATCTTTTCAAGAAAATCAAGTGGGCGGAGAATTTTCATTTTTTGAACTAAATAATCAACGTGAAAAAAAAAAATTAATTCTTGCGTATAGACGTTAGACCCTTTGAAAAAAAATTTCTACTTGGGTATTTTTATAATAGGCTGTTTTTTAAATAAATGTTTATGACGTTCTATTAAGAGATTTTCCTTCAATATTAACTAAATTGGGAAAAACTTTATCAAATTGATATTCTTCTCGGCGAAACACAATAATTATATAAAATACTATTACTTACAGTCATTCATATTAATTATTTCAATAACATTTCGTCACCACGTAGAGATTCCATTATCACTTAAATTATTTAAGATTAGAAATCAACTTAAATTTTGATTCTGAATCTACCATCTTAATAAATTAAGTAGCTTCGTGACATAATTGCGTCAGACCATAAACAGAAGTGTATAATTGAATAAAAAAAAGTACTAAGGCACTTGCTAATTCTTTGCTTATCATCACATTTTAGGCTGTCAGAAGAGGTATAAAGAGAGAAAAAATAAAATGAACAAATAAAATGAATTTATTTTAGAATCAAAATTTATTATAATAAATTATCAAAAGTTAGTTTAGAGCGGGAGTTAAAACGTTTTAAAGATATGTGATTTTTATAATAAGTTATTATGATAAATGTTTTTAATTAATTTTTTATATAAAACTCAAAGTGATGGGTTAATGTAAAATACAAAATCAAATTTGTGGCCTTGTCAATATAAATATCAAAATATCTTTGCTAATCAAAAATTATTATGTATTGAAATAAGATATTGATTATTTGATTCGAGTCTCTTGAAGTTGCATTTCTATTAGAAACATTTGCTTACGCGCTTTTCATATAAGGTTTTTTTGAAGTCTTGACACGTTCATAAGTCTTGCAAGTTGCAATTTAATGATGATAAGATTTGATTTGAATTATGTAAATTCGAGTGCACTTTTTAAAAAACGAAGAAAATTAAAACAAAACCTTTATTCCCAAAGAAATTACGAAAAAACCCGATTTATTTTTATTAAATTTTGTAAATTTTGATAAGTTTTTATTAAAGATTATCAAAAAGGTTAAAATTTACTTATAAATAATTTAGTGCATAATTTTGAAAAATTCAAAAATGACGTTACATGATAATATGAATATTGGGTATTAAAATGTCAGTACATTACAAGTTGTTTTTATAATGAACCTATGGATTTTCTAATTTTCGGACGCGACATTCTAACAGTCTTAGGTAAGTCATAAGATCAAGACAAATGACTATGATAACACGATTAGCACCTGAAGAAATTAATAATATAATTAGAAACACTAAAAATTATAATTAATACCAAAATTTGAGTCATTACCGCTTCGAATTGGATTAATCGGATTTAGTTTCTTAGTATTAATTCTTCTCTTATTTTCTAATTGCTGAACACGACGTTTAAGATTATTCAAACATCTCATTATTTTGCTAATTTCTGAAGATGTTCTTAAAGTTGATGCATTTAAAAGCCCGCAAACAATTATAATGCAGCAAGTACGATTTTTGTTGGGTTTGTTGTTTATTTTGGCCATCTTCAATTTAATTCTTTCTCAATGTTATGAAAAGCTGAAGATAAAGGAAAGGTCTTAAGCACTTTATATATTTTTCCTGAAATATTTCTGTTTCAGAAAAAATATTAAATTCTGGAATAATACTAAAATAATATCCCTATTTCAAATATTTCCGAGGATTTTGGAAGTTCATTCTTAATAGAATTTCTAGAAAATTTATTTAACAAAATAAATCAATTCATGATTTGCAGATTGCTTATTTTTTTGTTAAATATATGCGCTTATGTAAGTACACAATGTAATTTTATTTATTCTCCCTTGTTTTCTATCGTTTAAGATAACCTGTTTGGAATAAAGAATTCAATCTTGGCAATTACCATTAGTAGAAATGACTATCGTTCCCTTTTTTAGAGTTTTATAAATTTAGAAACTATGAAAGTTTTTCTAGAAGTTTAAGGAAATCTGAATGGGTAGTGGTGCAGAATTTATTCCAGTGATACAAAACTCCTAACAAATTTGTGAAATCACATGCAAATTATTTTAAACCAGTCTCCGGACACTTACCACTCACGTGATTTTTGTACTTACCTGAACCACGTAATCATATACATTCACAGTAACATATTTTTTTAAATTTTAAACAAAGATATCTTAAGAACCACTCAATGAAATTTGATGAAATTTTTTTTATTATAATTTTTGATATTTATAGAATTCTAATAAAAAAAATTAGCGAATTTCATCATGTAATTGTTGAGATATCTTAAATCGAAGTTGGGTAAATTTTCAAAACATTATCAAATTTTAAGCTACTTTTAAGTTTTTTCGAAATTTTAAACGAAGGTATTGTTATAATCAAAGTCATATAGAACTCCCAATATGACATTTGACATCGCGATTTAATCACGTGCCAATGTCGCATCAATGTAATCTGGTTAACCACATTGGTACACGAAGACCGATATGTAACACGAATACTGATAGTACTGAAAGTTGATAATGAGTGCTTAAAGATCTAAAAAGCGTTATAGTTTCTAATATTATATATTAGTTATTTTAGATATAAAGATCTGATTATATATATTAGATATATTATAGCTAATAGATATAACAGTTATTAAAATATATAAATAACTCTGATATCTTTCTAAGAAATCAATAGTTTGATTCTAGTTTTGAATAAACTCAAAGATAGTTTTATTCTAAGAAAACTAATAAGTTCAGTTTTGAATAAACTTTTGAATATTTTATTAATATATTAAATCATGATTTACTGATAATTGTTTCTGATTTATTTGATAAACTGTTATAATAATTACTTGTAATTTTATATATATTTAATAATTTAATTTTGTTATAATTGTAAATTATCTCAAATCTTATTTAATACTTAATAATATACATATATTTACTTAACATAAATCTAATATTCATATTAGTTTATTGATATTTATTACTATAGTAAACTATTACTTAGAACTTAGAATATGCAGATTTTAATTGTAACAATTTGGTGCTAATTATGAGATAAAGTTCTTTATTATAAATAAAATATATTAGTAATCTAAAAAAAAAATTTTTAATTTAGATATAAAATAACTAAAATATTTATTAATAATAATTTAATTTTTTTTTTTTTTTAATTTTTAAGGTGGCTTATATTGCTGGGCGATTTTTATTAGTTTGATATATGAGGTTATACATGGGTAATCCCTACAGTTTGTAATTACATGAAGAGTATACAACAAGCCATTTGTACAATTTTAGTTATTATCTAATTTAAGTAGTCCGCTACACAGGCAATAGACCACCTGATTAGTTCTACACTATGCTGCCATACCTGTAACCCGTCTGTGAGTTATCTATTTAAACACTCTATTCAACTAACCTATATTGTTACAAACTAATATTACTGTAACACCTAACTGCTTAAGCTAGCTAGCT